AGACGCAGCAGCAGAAGCAGCAGCAGCAACACCAGACACAAAACAACAGCCATCCCAAACAGCAATTGCAGCAACAACAGGGCTAATTCAACGGTTGCAGGGTGGCCCCAAGGTGCGTCCCCGTCGGCTTGAGGGTCCGTCTTTCGAAGCTCGAAAGACTTTAACCTTCTTGTTCGTGGTCTCCTCAGGATTTTACTTGCCCGGACGAGACTTTGAGAAACATTTCCTCCCAAGCACGCCGGAAACCCTACACCTCATACCGAAGCTCTTTTCCCGCGGATGGAGGAAGTCACGGACATTGAGGACGAGGTAAAGGAGCTTCTGAAGAAAGCCGAAGAACTGGAGAGGGAAAGAAGGAAAGCAGGCTCTTCTGCCTCTTGTGAAGAGGTCACGTTCGAGCTGCCCGATGAAAAAAGGGTACCAGGGGACATGGCTTGCAGCATCCGTCGCCCGCTCAGCTGTTTGTACGTCAAGGTCTTCCTCTACGTTTTGGACGTGGGCTTTGACCTCAACACGATTTACACGCTCGTGGCCTCGAGCAACTTCATCTTCGCCGGTGTGCTGACGGCAATCATCTCTCGGACCTTTTTCCATGAGCTCCTGCAGGGGCGAAGTCCTGCCAGCATACGAGACTCCTTGTATAAGAGCACAGAAAGGGGCATCATGCACAAAGACTTGCTGGAGATGCTGAATGAGGAGAAGTCATTCGAGGGGGCGCTGAGCCTTGCGCTGACATCCTACTCCTTTTTCTTCTGCATCTTGACGCCTGTCCAAGCCATCGTGCAGGCATTGAGCATTACCCTGAGTGCCTACGGCGTGGCCGGTGGTCTCTACGAGCTGATCGACTTGAATCTTATTGAAAAGAGTGCTCCGAGCATGTCGCAGGAGATGCGATCAGGTTTCCTCTGCAGAGCTGAAGGCGACCCAGACTCAGAACTGTCTGAGTCCGAGGTTATAAGACTTGGCGACCCAGACTCAGAACTGTCTGAGTCCGAGGTTATAAGACTCTTATAACCTCTCGAACAAGCGTGCATGGTCACTCGAAAGCTGGTAACGTGAGGGAGTTTTGACACAACTACTAGCTACTACGCCCAGCAATTCCCCACGTCTTGCCGCCGAATATCCAAGAGTCTCTATTAGGCCGAGCTGAACAAGCAAGCAGCTAGTTGTACCTTCAAAGTTGTACGTTGTTGTAATTTCAGAACCAGTGGCCAGTACCATGCAACTAGTAACTAGTACCGAGGGCTGTGGATTTTGGGCCTGCTGTCTGAAGCGATGTGTAGGCTAGCACGGCCGTCATTCTGCAGGTAGCCAGGGATCATCTATGAATGTCGTCGCTATCCAAGACTTCTTCTCTAGTAAGTCTAGTAGTTGTCTGTGCTAGCAGTGATCGTTGTGGTCCTGCAAGATTCCTGGGTGCAGCAGAAGAAAGCGAGAATCCTCGCAATTCGGTGCACCGTAACAGCTATGCTGAGGCCTGGAGGGTCTCGCTGTCCGGGCTGGACGTTTAGAGTCGTTGTAACGATAGTTAAAGCCAGGGGGTCCTTTTTGTTATAGCGTTGGTGAGAACGTTTGCATCTTCAGGTTCGCATGTTGGCAAGTTTACAGCCCAAGCTGTCTATCCCGACATAGACCCGCAAATACGTGACCTGCTCTCATGCATGCGGCGACAAACAGTGCAATAGTGCAAAGTTTGGGTGTCAGTCGCTGCGGAACCTCAGTGATCAGCATGTTGATCTTCTCTATCCGATATCCTCTTGTGATTCGTGCTGGTATCTGCTTGCAAGCTTGGTTGGCATCTGTGTCATCTTGTTCTGGCGATGCTTTTCTGGGTTGCTTTTATTTTGCTTTTGTCTAGACAAAATAATGTTTTGCGTGTTCTCAGTGCTTGCCTGCTGCTGGAACTCTTATAATAAGAGTAGATGAGTTTGCGGACGTTGAGAACTGAGACACTGAGAGCTTCTCCGTCGGCATTCCGGTCCGCTCCAAAGCTGAGCGGATTCGGAGGTCGGCTGGCAGTTTTCTGCTGATTTCGGGTGGGTTCCCGGGTCCTTGGACTGAGCTCAAGGATTTTGTGACTTGCGTAGCACTTCACCCGAGGGGACAATGCTGAGTGAACTGGAAAAGGGTTTACGGCCGAGAGAGCAGCAGGGTGTGGGCGGCCCTTGCATCCTTTCTTTGGGAAGTTCAGAAACCCCGGGACCCTGATCTCGGCCCCCAGTACAAGGATCGCAGGATCCTTACCATGAGGACCCTAACTGAGGAGGAGGATCCTTAGAACCCTAAACCCTAGGCCCTAAACCCCAAGCCTCGAATCCCAGGCTCTCACAGCAAGCAGATCTCCGAGATGACGGGATCCAGGCCCCAAGGGCCACTGGGACATCTGCTTGGCTTGAAGGTGCAGCGTTCCATAGACTACTTACTTGAACAGACCACCGTATGCTGTACTATACTAATGTACTAATGCGAGTGCGAACGCAATTCAAATACTACTACGAATACCACTGCGAATCCGGATGCTTTTGGAACTACTATAGTGATACTGCGAGTCATAGTCGTACTCATAGCCATACTCATACTCATAGCTATACTCATACTCGTACCTATACTCATGCTCACACTCACTACTAGGTACTACGTGCTAAGCATTAAGTGCAAACACTAATGCTATGTACTGACTCTTCTTTTGCATACTACAGCCTTGGCGGCCTGGCCTAAGCCCGAGACCCTAACCCCAAATCCGTAAACCCTAAAATCATAGGGTTATCCTTGCCCCCCACGTGGTGGGTCCTAGGAGTGGCCATCGTCTCGATTGCTCCCATGCTTGCTGTATCGCACAGTTCCGACGACAATAGTAGATCAAAATCACAAATGAAGCAAATGCCCTCGGATGCTCTCGAGACCTGTTCTTACGGCTGAAAGGGGCTTTATATGACCCCGGGAATGATAATTTCAACTGCTCTTCAAGGTCTTTCGGCACTGGGGGTGGGGTCCACCAGGCCGGGGTCAAGAGGAAGTCTGTGAGAAAACCCTCATTCCCTTGTAAACCTTAAAATCCCTAAACCCTAAAACCCGAAATCCCTAAACCCTAAATCATTGCTTAAATCCCTAAACCTTAAATCCCTAAATCCTTAAACCTTCAACAATGTAGAGAGATCGACTCTGGAGCAGGTTGCATCTGAGCAGCAAGGGCGAGTACTACCCGGGCACTCAGCTGCAGGACGGGAACCTTGGGTTTCAGGGGTGCTAGTTTTTTTTTTCCCCCCCCCCGGCGGTTTTAGATTCTTAGGATTTTTAAGGGTTGTAGGGTTTAGAAGCCTTCCAAGCTTCTGAACAATACTGCTTTGCTACGAGGCTCCCCTCCCCGTGCTGAAGCCCTCTGAAGCGAACCCAACAGGAATGCTGCTGCTCGGGGCTGCTTCCTGATGACAATGGTGATGATCATGTGCATGATGATGAGGATGATGAGGAGGATGACGAGGGCTTTTCTTCTGACAAATCAGCCATTGCAGCGATTGGACGTTATCGGCAGTATGCAAGCGACGGCGACTGCTGCTGCTGCTGCTGCTGCTGCTGCTGCTGCTTGCTGCTATTTCTACTGTTGCTGCTCTAGCTCCAGCACTAGTATCCGTGCTTTTTCTTTGTCTTTTCCAGATATCACAGAATGTCACGATTATAGCAATCCTTAAGCCCTAAGCTCTACACATCTATGAACCCTATCCTCGCAGGAGATGTTCGTGAAGGGCCCTTCTGCAGACAGCGTCTCAAACTGCGTCCTGCAGGCAAGCCCATTTGGGTTTTCAGCCGCTGGAACTTCAGGACGTCTAAGGATATTTCGGCATCAGGGTCGATGAAGGCTTAACGTAGAAGCCTGTTGTGGATTCTCGGCTTATGGTTCAGGGTTGAGCTGGAGATTGCCGTGATAAGATCGAAGACCTTGGCACCCGACCTCAGAGGCAGGATGAAGGGGATCCTGGTTTTAATGGTTAGGGTTGCTGGAGCCTGGATAGAGGTTGAGCGTTTTTGGGTCAGAAACTTGTCGGTAAGATCTGGCACTGACTGCACAAGGAGCTTTTTCCCATCCTACTCGCAGGTTAGCCGTCTAAGTCCCTCAAGATCCTCCGACAAACCCGTAGGCATGGTACAGGCAGCCCTGAAAACCACTATAAGCCCGAGAGCCCTGCACAGCAGCTTCTGCTTGTCGCATCCCAGAAGCTCGAAGCTTGACGGTGCCTGTCATGACGGCACCAAAGTCTCCACTTGCAATACTTGCAGCAGCCAAAGAAGCTCCTTGCCCCCTGCTACTGCTTGGCATCCTGCCCAGCATCCGTAGTTTGTGTTCCGTGAACCTTTTGACCACGGGCATGACTGCAGGTGCTCAGTAAGCTTCAGGAGGAGACCGGCAGGAGCGGGTTTGGCATGCGTTTGAAATCTCTGAAGCAGCATCAGCATCGTTCGCCGACCGCATCCCCCTACAACCGAAAAGCTCTGAAGACTGCGACGCAGTCGACCCCAACTCCGGTATGTAGAGCCTGCATCCTAGACTGCGAGACTGCACTTTCCAAACCTTGCGGCTTTCTTGATGCTACGATGACCTTCCGCCTCTTCCCATGTGCATCCTCGTCGTCGTTTTGATGGTGGCAGCAGCAGGGGGAGCGGCAGGAGGAGCAATAGGAGTGAAGTAGGAGCAGCGGCGTGGTAGCATCGGTATCGCCCGTCTGGTCGTCAGCATCAGTAGCAGCCAGTTCCGAAGCAGAAGGTCTGCAGAGTAACTCAAGGCTTTTGCCGTTCATCCTACCCCCAGATCCCCAAGCGTCAACCCCAAACCCGCTGTAAACCCGGAAAAGTGCTGAGCCCCAAAAGCCCCCCAATGCCCCCCGAGTTCCCAAAGCCCGAACCCTGACATCCAGGGTCCGAAGCCTTTCGATTCCAAGCCCGGAAGCCCGAAAGCTTGAGTCCACTGTTTTGGAGAAGCCTAAACCCTAAACCCCAGTAAGCCCCTTATGGGGGCGGGCCGGATCGCACAGAAAAGGTCACTCCACTTAGGTCACTACACTTAAAAAAACCCCCTTGGGGTCGCAACCAAAAAAGAAGAGCGCGGAGGATCAGCGGAGGCGAGTTCGAGGTGGAGGAGGGCGGCGCTCGGGCCTGGCGCCAAGGCTCTCACTTCTCTAGCTCCGAAGCCTGGCCTTTGAGGCTGGAGGTGCCGGGGTTGCCTTGCAAAAATCAGGAGCCAAACTCCTATATATATATATATATATATATATATTTTTACATGTACATCTATAGTATGTATATATATATATATATATATATAATCATATGTATGCACGTTTGGCAGCAGTAGGTGGGGTGCGGGTCATGTTCTGATGTAGAGCCCTTTCCAGCTGCCGTGCCGGCTGTTGGGGGGATTGGTTTGCTTTTTTTCTCTGGCTCAGAGCGCTGATGTTCCCAGCCGCGTGCAGGATGCCCTGGCCCAGTGAGCTGCTTTATGCATGGAACTGTCTGCCTGCAGCTTCCGGGGACAGGGACGAGTTCGAAGGGCTGGCTGAGGGCCTTATGAGACTGGAGCAGGAGCCAGCCCAGCCGGTGGAGTTTGATGCGCGGGTGTCCCTTTACAATGCTGTTACTGGAACCGGGAGGGTAGACCTCGATATGTCTTCACGTGCTTCGGCAGCGGAAGTTGGCGATGCTACTCTGGATGTTCTGAACCAGGACCGAGCAAGAGAGCTCTATCAGCAGTTGTTCGAAGAAAGGCGTGATGTCGCCGCGTCGACGTTCCGTTACAAGTCCACATACTCTCCCGGTCAACTGCGCTTGGTGCAGAACGACCGAGAAGCAAGGCAGGGGGAAATTGGGTTCAACAAGATACTGAGATGCTGTGGCAATTTGACCGAGAAACGGGTAAAGGCTTGTCCTGTGTCAGGTACGACAAGCCGCTGCAGAAAGAGGGGGAAACGGCGACTGCTTCATATTGTTTGGCGGAGGATGAGGCGCAGCGCGCCTCGGTGCAAAAATCTCGCTGCTGCCTTCGTTGGTGAAGCAGTGAGCAGCAAACCTGCCACATACTGCCAAACTGCCATATACTTCCATACTTACTGTGACTTCTCAAGATCCCAAGCGCTTGAAGCATACTGGCCACAATGCTGCGTAATTGGTTGTAAACACTGCAAACCCTGCGCGCGCTGATTCCAAAAGTCTTTCCGAGGCCTCCTCAAGGGGCTGTCGCCCAGAGAGCTCCGAAGGAAGATGGAAAAGCTGAGCAGCCGACGTTGTTGTGATGGAAGCGGAAGGCTGCTAGCTAGTCGAAGAAAAGCATGGAGCTAAAGGTGGAGTTGCTTGTTGCCTATAGGGCCTGGATGTCATGGCAAGTTGTTGGCATGGTTCAACCACTGGAACAGAAGTCTGCCTCCAGGCGCTGGGGCGAGACTGTAGCCTTCGCCCGCATCCTCCGCATCCTCGGTGAGTACTCCCTGCTCGTCACGACGCGGAGTGGCTCCAATGCAGCCGAGTCCGCCGGCTGGCTGCTGGAGGCCCTAACTTTGTTCAGTGCAGGGTGATTGAAGTCTCTGCGTTCTGATGCCCCGGCATGTGAGGTGCTTGCCAAAGCAGATTCGATGGACTCGCCGGAGGAGCTTCTGGATTATCTCACTGAGGAGTTGGCTTGAGTCAAGCCACAAAATTTTCAAAAGCCAAGGAGGCTGCTTGGAAGGCAAAGCCCTCATCCTAAGCCTTCAAAGGCGATCTTGAGGGCTCCAGGGCATCATGTCCAATGCGACTGCTGCCTTCCTGCCTTCCTGCACGCCTTTCCATCTTCTGTCTCCTCTGCTTTCCCCCCGGGAGCTTTTACAAGGTAGCAGCTAGCAACACTTGCGGAGTTCAGCACAGAAGCCTTTGCCGTTTGACCTCAAGAGCGGATATGTTCAAGTCGTACCGGGGTAGTACAAACTAAACCTTAAGTCCAAACCCCTAAACCCTCAACCCTAAACCGTTCTCGCGGGGGTTTGGGCCGGCACAAGCTCGCCTTGTCCCGAGGTCCACTTCGTCCTGCCTGTGCCGCCTCGGCCACAGCACTTTAGGTTTTGAATACTATAGGGGCCTGTTTGGGGTATACTATACTATAATTTTAATAAGGAACCCCCTAAAATCCTATTTTGGGGTATATTATACCAAAATTTTGAATAAGGAGCCCCCTAAAATCCTATTCTAATTATGAAGGCCCCTATATTGCCCGGGTGTCAAGCTTATACTCGCTTAGGAGGTTGCTGCTTGAGCCTTTCCTGGGACGTGTCAGGGCAGGCATGAGATGAACGCAGTGTGAATGGTGAGCATTTTTCATATGTTATGCATGTCTCATATAGCTATATTAAGTCAACTATGTAAGCAAGTATTATATGCTTTTGTACAGACAATATACCTATCATATATGTATATATGTATATGTATATATGTATATATGTATGATCTGTTGTCTTTAGGTACGTGTAGGAGGATCTGGCGAGGCCGTTCTTCGGCCAAGTAGCTTCGGACTTCTGCTTCCGTCGGCGCTTGGCTGCCAGCTCTGGGGTGTAGCTGGGGATCCTCTCCCCTCCCTCCGCGCCCTCCACGCGGAAATGAAGTGCCGGGGCCTTGCAGACAGCCGAAGGGAAGACATCGCAGCAAGAAGACTTTGCAAGTCTGATTTAGATGGTGAGGCTCGCACGAATCGTGCTACTAGTCATACTGGGACTTCCAGTACCAAGCCCTTGTTCGCCGGTGAATCCACAGCTGCTTGGGTCGGGCGCCACCATCTGTTTGCCTGTTGTTTGCCTCGCACGCTGAACGGTTATTGTGCTGTCGGATTAGAACAACACTAGTAAGTCACTAGTATGAATAAAAACCAACATTTACTTAACTAAAAGCTGATAATGACAATAATATGAGTTAATAGGAGTAATAAGACAAGAACAATACAAACAACATGGTGTTGAGTCGAAGGCGCGGCGGCGCTCGCGGTTACCATGGCCTTCTGGGCCGGGCTCTAAGTTGAAGTCTTCTGAAGTGGTTCAATTCTTCTTATTTTTTACTGTTACTGCCGTTACTGGTACTGTTACTCTTACTCGCACCACCAGTTGTTGCTGTGGTTATGAGTATTCTTAGCATTCTCAGTGTTACTAACTTTATTATTGCGCGTATGATTCCTTTTTTCTAATCACTGTCAGCGTTATTAGTTTGAGACCTTAACGAGTTCCAGCTCCAGGGCCCAGAGCTTCGGGTTTCGGAATGTGCCCAGTTCAAGCCGAGGTTCGGGAATGTTTGTTTAGAAATTTTCGGGAGTTGGCGAACTTCATCTCATAGCAGTACCAGCAACCCTGACTATTACTTGTACGACGACGACTACTACTACTACTCCTCCTCCTGCTGCTGCTGCTCCTCTACTACTACTACTACTACTACTACTACTACTGCTACTGCTACTGCTACTACTACTACTACTACTACTACTGCTACTGGTATTGCTGCTACTACTACTGCTACTACTACTACTACTACTACTACTACTACTACGTCGTTTCTAGGTTTGGTTTCTGTAGAGGGGGCAGCTAGAGGGTGGTATTGGGGGTCCGAGTAATCAATACTAGTGTCCCGTTACCGTTATAGGCCCCACACTGGTAGATTCCAATCATTCAGGCCCCTACATGGGAGTTTCCAAAAATTGGGGTACCTTATTTGGGGGTCCTTATAATAAGGGGCCTACTATTTAGGGTACTATATTAGGGTCCCCTATTTTCGGAAACTCCCCCATTGCTTGAGCGTAGGCCTTCCAACCTCACGCGCACGGGAAAGGGCCTGTGAGTCAAGCAGCCCTCAAGACGCCCCAAGCCGTGTTTTGTGGACTCCGTAGTAACCCATTGCAATCCTTGTTTTAAGCCCTTACCCCAAAACCCAAAACCCAAAACCCTAAACCCTAAACCCGAAACCCTAAAACCACTCTGAAGTCGCGAAAACGCGAAGCCGAGGCCACGACGGGGGCCTTCGGGGAGTCACTGCAGTCCCCGGTTCAGAAGGTCCCCCCCCAAGACGGTTCCATGTCTACTACGTGGCTTTTTGACGGTTTTTTACGGGGCCTTGGGTTTAGGTTTTCGGGCTTTGGAGCGTCAGAGGGTTGTGTTTCCTGTTTTCTGGGTTGAGACTAATGAATGTCTAGCAGTGTTTTTAAGGGATTTTTCATGGCGGGGTTGCTGCGAGTGCTAAAGCAGGGGTTGTACAGGGTCCTCCAACCCATATACTATATACTATACTATATAACATACTATAAAAATACTATATAATATTTAATGGCTGCCGCCAATGC